TCCCTCTTTTTCATTCGATTCGGTGAATAATCCAGCCACCGGCGACGACTCGACGTCGCAAACGTCGTGCATTAACGTCATCGCCGGGGACGATCTCAGGTAGCCCGGCCGACCGTTAATCGCGAAAATCATCTGCCCTCTCTCGCAGGTGCTCGCCGTCTCTCGCCTCCTCCTCCTCCTCCTCGACCTTTGCACCGAGCCAGTGCAAGCTTTGATCGCTCCAAACTACCCGTCTTATTATCCGCCATTGCGCTTCGATTCGACAGAGAGACGATGCCCCGCATAACGCGATCCATCGATTCCGTTCGTTATCGTAGATTCGAGTCTTATTTGCTTCTTCTTGTTTGCGTAATCGATTAATTAATCGGACCGTTCGGTCGACATTTCCTTTCGAAAAATCCTGATCCTGTTAAAAATGCATCGAACCCTTTTTTGATACAACGGTTTCGCACCAGTTTTTTGTAACCAGTTTTACGTATATCTTGACTCGAACGTGTCTCGATATTATCTTCTTTCGACTTAATAAAGAAAAAAAGAAGAAGTGCACGCCGATCCCACGATAAAAACTCGAGCATTAAACCGTGGCAGTTTTAAATTACCGGGGAATCGGGAACGAAATTCCTTCATCCTTCTCGTTACGTCTTAAATTTAAGAATCATCCTTAAGTTAAAAGATTCGAGGAAGCGAATTCCACCTTCTTTACGTTTCTCTTCCCAAAAGATTCTCGTGAATTTTCTCAAACGAGGCGGTGATAGAGAAAGGCGAAGGCCGAGAATAAACGAGAAAAGAAGAATTTCTCGTTGATGCGTGTATTCCGTGATGGAATCCCCTCTTTTTTTCCATAATTAAACCGAGAATCATCTCTCTGTCCACGAGAGAGAGAGAGAGAGAGAGAGAGAGAGAAACGTGGCGCGAAATCTGGCTAAATACGTCGAACGAAGTCTCTCCTCGAACTCCTTGGCCTCCTCGATCGTTAAGTTCGAGTTCCCTGGATCCGCGCAAAGCTTACGAATAAACTTCTCTTACCCTCGATACGGATCGACGATACACGTTAGGATCGAGGATCACGTAGGATTCTCAAAGGGTTCCGCGACCGCACGCCAACGATGCGTCGTTCGATATCGTCAATTCGATCGCCGCTGCGAAGAGATCGTTCCTCTTCCTTCTTTCTCCCGATAATCCAGATTATTTCCAAAATTGCCAGTTCAATAAATACACCGAGACTTATGTTGAATGATATTTTCTTTTTGCATCTTTCAATTCTCTACTATGAGCAATTCGAAATAAAACTTGGCGGAGTAATTGGATTAGTAATAATATCAATTTTATGCATTACTATTTTTTTATACACAATGATAAATTTAATTTGTTTAATAAAATTTGTTACCGATTCTTAATAATTTTATTTTTTATTAACATGATTAGGCAAATTGATTGATTGAATATCCATTTAATGATATTGTTATTTACTATACGCATATTTCTTATATTTCTTTATATCATTTTATAAAGTAAGAAAAATCCGAGGAAACTTAATTTGAAAAAATTAAATCAATTATCAAATAAAATTTTCTACTTAACTTTTAAATATTATAAATAGATATATATTCGCTTAACTCTTTCGCTGCGGCACCAAAAATGTGCACGGTGCTCACAATTGAATTCCTTTGATTGACTGTTTATTGAAAGAAAAACTTTCCTCAAAACGGGGAGCATTTATAACTTCTGAACACGCTCACTTTTAATTACACTTAAATAAATAACAACAACACGACTTCTCGTCTTATTTTTCATCATTTTAAGGAGTGAAATAAAATCCGTTCGAAAAAAAAAAATAATAAAAGGAAACAAATTTAAAAAATTCCTTTGCGTCTGTCGTTGAAAAAAAAAATGAATCATCTTTGTTAACGCTGATTTTATTCGCTGCGAACAAGCGTCTCCAAACTGATTACACATTTTTTTTAGTGATTTTTATTATCGAAGAATTTTGTGAAGACTCGATGTACGATTCCAATCGCTCGTAAGGCTTCCCTCGATGAAAACCGATTTTCGAGGTGATGCACACCACTGAACGAGCCGATTGCCTCGAATATTCTTCGAAAGCAGAGATAAAGCTCTTCCAATTTCGCTTTCATCGCGTTCTCTCGTCACATTCCCCGAGACAATAAATCGGGAATCACGTCTGTTGGAATGTTCTGCGCTTTTTTTCTCCGGCACGGAAACGGCGAACAGCATCGATCAAACCGCGCGATGCAAAAGCGGCACCTTTTGAAGGCGGCTGTTGTTCCGTTTGCTTCCTCGATCGTCATAATCGCTCGATTATAACAACGGGCTCGATACATATTCAACTCGTTGGAGAAGAGTTTCCGTGTATAGGAAGCGCAGGAACGAAGCGACGCTCGTTTAAATTAGAAAACCGATAGCGGCTGGGACCATTCGCGAGGAGATATTCGATGGGGGAGGGGTGAAAACGTTTCGCGTAGGATGCGGACGCGCATTGCTCGATGGGTGGCGGCTGTTGTTGATTAATAACGCGCACGATGCACTCTCTTACCTCACGCATAAATTACGTCCCACGTGGAATTTTCTGGCGAGATCGAAGCAGTGTGTGCGTGCGTGTGTGCGTTGGTCTAGTTACGTGACACCGAGAACTAGTTCCGGTAGGCCCTCTCTTGTTCCACCTTTTTCTTCACAATCAGGTTGCTGCTTTCGATCACTTTTCACTCTTTCGAGGATCTTGATAATACTTGTTACGTATTATTATTGGGATTTTATCTTGTTCAAAGTGGCATGGAAAATCGTAATGGATCCCCCAACTGATATTTCTATTGAACGAGTATAAAAAAAACAGTTTTAACGATTGCGAATATGACGGCGACAATGCTTGTAGTTGAATAAAGAAAGAAACTTTTCCTCGTTTTTGGTAGTTTTTGAAAGGAAAAGTTCGAACATGACGATAACTAATTCCCAAAAATAAATGTTATTTTGTTCGATCGATTTGAAAAAATTTCAAATCAACGTATTGTATTATTCGAGTGTCTGTTTCCTTCGAATACAAAAAAAAAAAAAAAAAACAAGTAAGGGGAAAGAAACGCGGTGTGCTCACATTTCACCGATACAAAGGCGTTATACTGGCGTTCGTTAAGCGTTCGAAGCTTGGGATATAGAGGATGGAAGAGGACGAGGACAGGTGAGAGGCGCTCTCGATGCAAAAGGAAAGGGTTGGAGGAGGATGGATCGTGGATAGTGCATCCGCGAGCCGTGTGTTAGGTTTCGCATAGTTTATCAATGCGCGTAGGCTGGCTTCGAGAACACTGGCAAGGCAATAGATTACAATTATCCGAACACGCCTGGCTAAACGTGGGAGTTGCCAACGCGGACACGACCAACGATCACCACGGATCCGATCTAAACCTTCTTTTCTTCTTCGTTAAATCGCATCTCGTTGATTTTTATCGATTCTTACGATTTTTTTCTGAACGATTCTTCGTAAATTAACGAGGAGATTGATTGAAAATAATTGATCGACGTTTTCTCTCTTTTTTTTTTTTTTTACGATAGATAAGATTGCGTATCGTAGTCCTTTGTTCGCTTCAAACTTCACCGTGCGCTCGAGGATCTCGAAAAAGTTTTGAAAGTCGTTTGTTCGTTCGGGCAAGAGTAATAAAGTAATGGAACCTAATTGAGAAATTATTATAGGTACACAAACAATGACGTTGGAGATCTTCGTCCAGCTCAGGGACAGGCAATAACATTCCGTCGGACGAATCATTCGAATGAAACTGCTAATTCCTTTCAGATGCAACCGAGTCCTCCCTCCCCCCCCCCCCCCGGAGCAATTCTTTCGCATTGTCTCGCAATCTTCGATACCGTTACTTAATACGATTCAATTCCATCTCATTCGTTTTCGTATCGCCAGGAAACGATTCCTGGACCACGGTCTAGGAAACGGTCATCATCCTCATCATCGTTCCAACCACACGTGATCCAGCAACGTGCTCTCCTACGCAAGTCCCTTAGAAACGTACCGCCATTATGGCGCTGGCGTCGAGGTCAATCTCGATGTAATTGTATTAGCTACTCGCCTGTTCCAGACGATAAAATCTGGACGAGTTTCTTCGTTACCCGATGTTTTAAAAGAAAGAGATCTGTAATCTCTGGTAAAAAAAAAAAAAAAAGAAGGATTGAAGCGCTGAAGAAAAAGTGCAGGTTGAATCGACAATCAAACGTTTTCGAATTGATTACACCTTTTCACGGTCTAAGTCGCTTCTATTTATTCTTTTTACGATTGGCTACTTTCTCTCCACTTTTTCCCGCCCCTTTTAAATATATTATTAAACTAAGCACAAGCCTGCTGTTAATAAATAATAGCTAAAGCGAAGAAGATTTTATATCTTGGAAGGGGGGGGGGGAAAAAAACTTTGAAATTTGATATTAGCCGGACGATTAAGAAGGAAAGAATAAGAGGGAGAACAAAAACGTTTAGGCATCAAAATGTACGAGTCATTCTTTGCACTTTTCTATTTTTGTTTCCCTATGAGACGCGGTGGGACAACGCCGATATGAAAATCGCGAAGAAAGACAATGGCGTGTTTACTCAGCGTTGAAAAATGTTTTCGCCCCTGCAATCCCTTCCCTCTTTGGTCTCGAAAGGTCTTTAATAATTCAAACGATACGCGTATTTGCAGGGGTATTCGTATGGAAATGCGAAAACGGTGCACCGACGACGATAGATTCAGCGCTAAATTCTTTTCACTCGTTTATTTGTTCGTTCGAACAATGTTATTGAAATATTTCAAGTCATCAAGAAGAAAAAAAAAACAAATATTCCTTTTAACAATTTCGTTGAATGAAATACTTAATCTTTGATTAGGATTTTTTTAGTAATTAATCTTTTTAATAATTTTAACATTCTCTCTATGTTAGAATTACAACTTTGATATTTTTATTTTTGTGTATCTCTTTAAAACAATAACTATAAAAATTTTATTTTTACAAAATTAAATACGAGAATTTCCCCGGTAAGAAAAATCAGTGCACGGTGCTCAATGATTCATGACTATCATAGTAAACTCGTATTGCGCAGAGCCTTTAAGGATTCGAGAGGAAACGAGGAGGATCCGTCGCGGCGTACGTGCATTCACAGCTGAATTAGCCGCATCATTGTCTGAATGAGAAAAGAGACAGAGAAATATCAAGTGAATGTAAATACGGTAAAAATCCATGCGTCATCCGGTCAAGAATGATCGTCGATACTTCCGAGGGCAACCAACGATGCATTCGATGTTCTATTCATTGAAATAATCTTTAGCTTCTTCAAAAATATCTTTTAAAGATTCCATTATATAAATTTTATACAAAAAGTTTCTATAGACCGAAAGAAGTATTTAGAAGAATTCCAGTTTATTTTCTTCTTCTTCTTCTTCTTCTTACAAGGAAAAATTCCTCTAGAGCGATTTTGATATTTGTCCAACGTTAGTATTCGCTATTCCATCGAACCTTTATAACGCGGAAGGCCAAACAAGCCTTCTCGATAACTTTCTCCCATTGAGAAGTCGGCCATACACGGGCAAGGAATCTATCGATAGTCGTGGTTCAGATTCATTACTGAATTCCCTCGCGTATTCTTCTAAATTAGCTCTCCTCCAATTAAACGGATACCGTTTCGATCGTGTCTAAATCCACCGGAAGTTATATAGTCGGCCTTCTAGATTCGATTCTGGTGAACTACTTTCCCTGTTCGTGGAATTTTTATCTTATTCTTTTTTCTTTTTTGGACACGAATTGTTTAACGTAATTATAAAAAAATATTTCTACAACTTTCGTAATTTTATTAATAAATAATTATCGAAATAAGAATCTGGAAACTTATTACCGAAAATTACAATTGATTCAATTTCTAAATATATGTATCTTAACTTTAAAACTTTTGAAAGATAAATTTAAAACTTACCATCTCTGCATTCTGATATATATTATTCAAATTCGATCGATATATTATTCGTTCGTATTTAATTAAACCACCTGCAGCGAGAATACCTTTCGTGCAAAATGCATCCATGCAACTTTCCTTTTCTATCTTCCTCGAAAATTACAAAGTCGTCGACGTGATGCGATTCGTCCTGGCTACCGTACATACTTACTTTGTACATACGGAAGAGCTTTTATTATCTTTGCGGTGTTGGACCGAAATGGGGTAGCTTATCGTCATTAAGACCACCTGGCGCAACAAACATAATGAATATTCCGCAAACACAGGAGAATGAGAAATCTCGCGTGATAAGTTTGACAAATTAATTTCATCTATTTTCAAGATTCATCGATAGTTTTTACCTGTCGATTTTTCGTTTCATGTTGTTTTACGTTGATGATGATATTTCGTATTTGAATTTGCGAGATAAACACATATATATTTGAAATATTCTCAATTTTTATTCTTCTTTTGTCAGAATCAACCTCATATCCAATGTTGCATTCTATCTTGCATTCTTGTATATCAATTAACATATTTCTGCAATAATTTTTTGCAGAAAAATATTTATAAAGTATTCGATAGATTTTATTATACAAATTTATTATATAAATTAATCTTAAAAAAAGAATCTTTCAAAAAGTCTCTTTCTTAACCTCAATTTTTCGAGAGCGTATATACAACAACATTGAACACCAACGCCACTCACCGTGCAATTTTCCAATTTCTTTTCACTCATATTCCACGACACATTAATTTACGATGATTAACAAGCACACGATGCAGCATTTGATCAGGAATGTTCGACAGGTTAGCTTCTATAATAGTTTCCTCTTAAAAATATTTCGTATCTCATTCGAGAATAATTTCCAAAGGGTTTTGTGAGGCTGTACATGCAATTATCCAAGATTAACAGAATCGTACGGAGGAATTCTCGTTGGATCGTAACGGTATATACCAACCGCATCCGATGATAACCTTCAGCATGATGATCTTGGAGAGGAACCATTTCTTTTCACGTTAAACGAAAATTGCAAACATCCTCGATGGATAAAGTCGTCAGTCGAATAATCATTCGTAATTAGCCTCAATTAGACGCGGGTTGAATGATCCAGATGAAACGGATGGCCACTTGATAATTGCATCTTTTGATCGATTGATTCCTTACACTTTTTTTTCTCTCGCGTTCTTGTATAAAGAACGATGATTCTTCAAATAATCACACCAATTATCGCAATTAAAACTGATAATTAAACTTCGTGGAAGATGTCCATAGAAGTTGTCGAGTAATTTTGACGAAAAAGCAAGTTTTTCATCGGAGAATTGTCCTTTCATCCTTTGTTCGTTGAAATTCAATTTAAAGTTCAAAGTTTCGAAAATTTTACTCTCAAACGAATTCACATAAATTTTATAACTTCAACTATAATATTTTAAATTTTCATAACCAAAAATATTACGAAACCCACGTTCACCTCTCACATTTCGATGGTAATAAATATAACGTGGCACCATCTATCTGCTATACGTTTTACTATTCTTTTTGTTTCTCCCACTCCTATTCTATTCTGTCCTAATCTATTATATGCCATGTTAGTTTTCTCATAGACGAATCTCGAGCATGTGCTTAGAAATAAACAATTATATTCTTGTATTATTCATTTTATTATATAATATTAATAATGATGTTAAATTATTAAAATAGTTACATTTTTTATAAATTTTATCAACTTACATTAATAATCTCATTTTTTTTCCAGGTTTCACGGGCACCCAGTGCGAGATCGACATTGATGAATGCGCGGAAAGACCGTGTTTAAATGGGGGCGTTTGCACCGATTTGATCAACTCCTTCAAATGCACCTGTGCGAACGGTTTCGCTGGTTCCCACTGTCAGATCAATATAGACGACTGCGCCTCCTCGCCATGCAAGAACGGCGGTATCTGCCAGGACTCGATAGCCAAGTACACGTGCGACTGTCCACCAGGATTCACCGGAGCCTCCTGCGAGACGAACATCAACGACTGCCAATCGAATCCCTGCCACAGTGGCACCTGCATCGATGGAGAGAACAGCTTCAGCTGCAATTGCTTTCCAGGATTCACCGGGAAGCTGTGCCAGACGCAGATCGACGAGTGCGAGAGCAACCCTTGCCAGTTTGGAGGAAGGTGCGAAGACCGTATTAACGGGTACCAATGTATTTGTAGACCTGGAACGTCTGGGACGAACTGCGAGGTGAACGTGAACGAATGTTATAGCAATCCATGTAGAAATGGAGCAAGGTGCATCGATGGTATCAATAGGTGAGTTTGCGGTTAGTCGATTGATCCTTATGTCAATGCCCACGATTCTCGACATCGTTTGATCTCTCATTTTGGTAATAAAATTCCAAATTTGAGATGTTGGAAAGTAAGGAAGAGTTAGATCAATTAAGAAATTTTTAGAAAAATTTCATTTTCTAACCGGTTATTGACATAAGGGTTAAGGGGTTTGTTCTCGAGGCTTTCCATTTTAACGAGATCTAAATTGTAAATGGTCGATGCATGGTATTGCTTAAAAGCTTTCTCACTTCGTGAGATTAGAATTTTAATGTATCCTGAGCGAATGAAAATAACGTTGAATTTAACTCCTATAGGAGTTTACAACAGCCCTAACAAACTGCTCACGCATGAATACCCAACGCAGCAAAATCTAGCTTTGTCTTTATCCTTGCCATCGCTTATTATCCTCTTACGAGTTACGTATTTTCTTCCAGATATTCGTGCGAGTGCGAGCCAGGTTTTACCGGCCAGCACTGCGAAACGGACATCAACGAATGCGCCAGCAATCCTTGCGCTAATGGCGGCCGTTGCATAGATTTGATAAATGGATTCCGGTGCGAATGTCCTCGTGGTTACTACGATGCTAGATGCTTGAGCGACGTGGACGAGTGTGCGAGCAATCCTTGCGTGAACGGTGGCACCTGCGAGGATGGTGTGAATCAATTTATCTGTCACTGTTTGCCCGGTTACGGTGGGAAGAGATGCGAGGCAGATATCGACGAGTGTGGCTCGAATCCTTGTCAACATGGCGGCACTTGCAACGATCATTTGAACGGATACAGCTGCAAGTGTCTCGCTGGATACGCTGGTACCAATTGCGAGACAAACATCGACGATTGCGCGAACAATCCTTGTCAGAATGGTGGTTCCTGCATCGACCTGGTCAATGATTACAAATGTGTCTGCGAACTTCCTCATACGGGAAGGAATTGCGAGGATAAGCTAGATCCTTGTTCGCCTAACAAGTATGAATTCGGATATGTTTTAAGCGTTCAATAAAATTTTTGAAGAAGTGTTTATAATATGTTCTTTTCTCTTACAGATGTCTTCATGGCGCCAAGTGTTCACCATCCTCGAACTTTCTCGATTTTGCCTGCACTTGCACGGTCGGTTATACTGGCAGACTTTGCGATGAGGACGTCGACGAGTGTGTAATGACGTCTCCGTGCAGAAATGGTGCTACTTGCAGAAACACAAATGGCTCCTATCAATGCCTTTGCGCAAAAGGATACGAAGGTCGGGATTGTATCATTAACACCGATGATTGCGCTTCTTGTAAGTATCGTACATCAAAATTATTATTTTATTTCAATTATACTCAAGTTATTATGTAATTAATATGGATTTACAATTTACAGTTCCCTGTCAAAATGGTGGCACTTGCTTGGACGGTATTGGCGACTATACCTGCCTCTGCGTGGACGGTTTCAGTGGGAAACATTGCGAAATCGACGTGGACGAATGTTTATCACAACCGTGTCAAAATGGTGCTATCTGTAAAGAATACGTAAACTCGTATACGTGCCAATGTCAACTAGGATTTTCCGGTATAAATTGTCAAACCAACGACGAGGATTGTACCGACAGTAGCTGCATGAATGGTGGCAAATGCATAGACGGTATCAACAATTATACTTGCGTTTGCAAACCTGGCTACACCGGTTCAAATTGCCAATATCGTATCAATGAATGCGACAGTTTGCCTTGCCTCAATGGTGCTACTTGCCACGATCATGTTCAATATTATACTTGTCACTGTCCTTACGGTTATACTGGAGCTAGATGCGATCAATATGTCGACTGGTGTGCGGATAATCCTTGCGAAAATGGAGCTACTTGTATTCAAAAGAAAAACAAGTATCAATGTAATTGTTCCCCTGGTTGGACCGGTAAAGTGTGCGATGTCGAAATGGTTTCTTGTAAAGATGCGGCTATAAGAAAGGGAGTACCCGAGAAAAATCTTTGCAACAATGGTACTTGCGAGGACATAGGTAATAGTCATCGCTGTCACTGTCTAGAAGGATACACAGGTTCTTATTGTCAAGAAGAAGTAAACGAATGCGATTCTGCTCCTTGTCAAAATGGAGCTACTTGCAAGGATCTTATTGGATCTTATCAATGCCAGTGCACCAAAGGTTTCCAAGGACAGAATTGCGAGCTCAACGTGGATGATTGCAAACCCAATCCTTGCCAGAATGGCGGTACGTGTCACGATCTTATCAGCAACTTTAGCTGCTCTTGCCCTCCTGGAACCTTAGGTTTCATATGCGAGCTCAACGTAGATGATTGTACTGTCGGCGCTTGTCATAATAATGGAACGTGTACCGATAAGGTTGGCGGATTCGAATGCAAATGTCCTCCAGGCTTCGTAGGACCTAAATGCGAAGGCGACATCAACGAATGTTTGTCCAATCCTTGTGCCTCGCCAGGGACTCAAGATTGCGTGCAATTGATCAACAATTATCATTGCAATTGCAAACCTGGCTACATGGGACGACACTGCGAGGTAAAAGTGAATTTCTGTGACAGCTCACCGTGTCAGAATGGAGGTGTTTGTACTGCAAAACAAGCTGGACACACTTGCCTTTGTCCTAACGATTATTATGGAAACAACTGCGAATTCGCAGGTTCTTATTGCGATAGAGAACCTTGCTTGAATGGCGGCACTTGCAGAGTGGCTGAAACAGAGGTTGGATATAGATGTTATTGCCCTCTTGGAACAACGGGAACACATTGCGAAATAGATGCCAGAGATGAATGTGCTAGTAATCCATGCCAACAATCTAATGCAGTTTGCAAAAATCTTCTTGGCGATTATGCTTGTGATTGCCCACCAAAATGGACCGGTAAAAACTGCGAAATTTATGATCCTACTTACAGAGGAGGTATTTTTGGCAGTTCCAACTCGAATATCCAAAAAACTATGAATGCGTACGATCTTGATTTAGAATTAGAGAGAAAGAAGTGCATTGAGAACAGATGCGAAGAAAAATCTGGCAATCATCATTGCGACGAAGAATGTAACAGATATGCTTGCAATTTTGATGGAAACGATTGTTCATTGGGTATCAATCCATGGCGTAATTGCACTGCTCCTATTAATTGTTGGGACGTTTTCATGAACGATATCTGCGACGAGGTTTGCAATAATCCTCAGTGTCTATTCGATGGAAGAGATTGTGAAGGGAAATTGGCACCATGCAAGTAAGTAATTGCAATACAGATGAATACCTAAATATAATAAATAAATATCACAACTAATTCCTAAATTTTTATTTTTACAGCCCTATTTATGACGCCTATTGTCGCAAACATTACGCCGACGGATTCTGCAATTACGGTTGCGACAACGAAGAATGTAATTGGGATGGTCTCGATTGTGACACGAAACCACCATCATTGGCAGAAGGTGTGATTTCAGTGGTAGTAAGGATGGACATGTTAACATTCCGCTCGAACGTGGTCGCTTTCCTAAGAGACATTGGTCACGAATTAAGAACAACGTTAAGGGTAAAGCAAGATGAACTTGGCAACGACATGATATATCCATGGAGGAGGGAACGAGATCCAGGATTACAGACTAGTATTTTTGGTCGGCCGACCACGATCTATACCAACACTCAAAGCGGTGTAATAGCCTATTTGGAGATCGACAATAGAAAATGTACCGTCACTCAAGGAGCGGTATGTTTCCCATCAGCAAACGAGGCAGCGGAATATTTGGCAGCTACAGCATCCAAACATTCTTTATCTCGAAACTTCCCGATCGAGCAAGTTCGAGGTGTGGTCGGGCCACAGGGTCCCGAATATCCGGACACTCCAACGAACTACAAATACGTCTTCATCGGTGTCGTCATCGTGGTACTTGGAGGGATGTTGGTCGGTGTTTTGGTCACAGCGCAAAGGAAACGAGCAGTGGGTGTCACCTGGTTCCCAGAAGGATTCTTGCGTACGAGCAGCGGGAGTGGGCAACGTCGAAGATCGAGAAGACGAGGTCCGGATGGGCAAGAAATGAGGAACTTGAACAAGCAGCCTTCGGTGAACTGCATGGATCTCGATGTTGGAAATGGAAGAGCTCAACAATGGTCGGACGACGAGTCAGACTTACCACCTTCGAAAAGAATGAGAGCTATAGAGCCTGGATACGCTAGCGACCACACTGCCATTACCGATTACGAGGAAACGGAGCCTCGAATGTGGACTCAACAACATTTAGACGCGGCAGAGATTCGTAGGCCGGATGCTGGAGTTTTAACACCGCCTAGTCTCGAGCATGGCCAAGACGTGGACGCGAGGGGACCCTGTGGGATGACGCCGTTGATGGTAGCAGCTGTACGAGGTGGAGGATTGGACACTGGAGAGGAGGAGGACGAAAGTGACGGTACAGCCGCTGTGATCGCTGATCTAGTTGCTCAGGGAGCAGATTTGAACGCCACCACGGATAAGAGCGGCGAGACTTCGCTTCATCTGGCGGCAAGGTATGCCAGAGCTGACGCAGCCAAGAGATTGCTGGACGCTGGAGCAGATGCCAACTCTCAAGACAATACCGGCCGAACTCCTCTTCACTCTGCCGTCGCTGCTGACGCGATGGGAGTCTTCCAAATACTATTGAGGAACAGAGCTACGAATCTGAACGCGCGTATGCACGATGGAACAACTCCGCTGATTTTGGCTGCTCGTCTGGCTACCGAGGGAATGGTGGAAGACCTAATTAATGCAGACGCTGATATCAACGCAGCCGACAACAGCGGTAAAACGGCCCTTCACTGGGCTGCAGCTGTTAACAATGTCGATGCTGTGAACATACTTTTGGTTCACGGCGCAAATAGAGATGCCCAGGATGATAAGGACGAAACGCCATTGTTCCTCGCCGCCAGAGAAGGCAGTTTCGAAGCGTGTAAAGCGTTGCTCGACACATTCGCCAATAGGGAGATCACCGATCACATGGATCGATTACCGAGAGATGTTGCCAGTGAGAGATTACATCACGACATTGTGAGATTGTTGGACGAGCACGTGCCTAGATCACCGCAGATGGTGAATGTGATACCAAATGGTCCTCTTATGGGTAAGTTGATCTTTTCACTCTACTCTCCGAATCTTTATATATATGCTGTTTAAAAAAAATTCGGTGATATCAAAATTTCCAATTATTATTTTCTGCCGCAGGATCTCCAAATCATCCACAACTCATCACGCATCCCACGGTGATCGGTTCCGCTCCGAAGCAAGCAAAGTCGAAGAAGCGGCCAAAAGCGGGATCCACGGGGAATCCAAACAGTCCCGAGTCAGAGGGCGGAGTGGTGGTGGTAAGGCGAAAACCTTCTGTAAAAAAGCCACCGGCGAAACGCGGAGCCCAGCCCCCAAACCAGGAGATTCCTCAGGGAGCGGAGGGCGCGGAGGGAAACTTGCCAAGCCCGTACGACAGCGCAAGCTTATACAGCAATGCGATTCCGTTGGTGGGCCACACGGCAACGGCGAAGCAACCGCCACCTTATGAGGATTGCATAAAGGGCCAATCCATGCAAGGCCTTCAACAGTTAGGCCTAGACACGTTCACAACGAATTATGGTTTGCCTAATTTTCACGACCAATTGTTAGCGTCTCATCAACGGCAAGCGCAAGGAATGGTGAACACGTTGTCGCCGCCCTACAGTAATCAGTCACCGCCACACTCGGTGCAATCGAACATGACCCTGTCGCCACAGGCGAGCTACATGGGATCGCCGTCTCCTGCGAAAAGTAGGCCGTCGTTGCCCACTTCACCCACTCACATCGCCGCTATGAGACAGGCGACGCATCAAAAGCACGGCGGCATGCCACCAGTGGGATTCGATTTTGAGAATCTCCCCTACTCGTCGAGCCAGCAACAGCAGCAGCAACAGCAGCAACAGCAACAGCAACAAATGCAACAAACGCAACAGCAAATCCAGCAGCAGCAGCAGCAGCAGCAACAACAGCAGCAGCAACAGAGCACGCAACAGCAGCAGCAGGCGCAACAACAGCAAGCGCAACAACAGACGCAGCAATACTATCAGTATTTGACGCCGCCCTCTCATCATTCCGGACCGGATGTGACGCCGCAGCATTTGATGCAAGCGCCAGAAAGCTTCCCGACGCCGTCCCCGGACAGTCCAGGTCACTGGTCGTCCAGTTCGCCGCACTCGAACAGCGACTGGTCCGAGTGTATGGCGTCGCCAAACGCGTACGGTGCTGGAGCCGCCCACCAAAGTAACAAGGGCTCCGAAGCGATCTATATATGAAGGCGGAGGTGCTCTCTAGCTCGCGCGAGTAAGTCGTAAATCGAGTATGCACGTGTATGAACTGTGATTGGCTCGTCGAGTTCGAGGGCTATCCTCGCCGATATTTTGTTACAAGTGGTATCTCCGTCGGAGATCCATGCGACGAACGCTCTCTCGTAAGGTCGACAGCGTGTAACGAGATTGTGGATCGTTTTACGCCTTGGAACAGGGGGCGTGAGCGAATGAATACTATTCTATTATTACAGTTCTATATATATATATAAATATTTATGAATATAAATATAGATGAATAATTATATATATATATGTATGCAAAGGTATATTTTTGGATCGAGAACATATACACACACCGTTTATATAGGTCGTTCAACGATATTGTGCCTTTTCTCGAAGAACTATAAAGATCGTTTTAGAAGCAACTATACGTGATCGAGATATTATATAATAAAAAACGATGTACCCTGCACTCAGCTCGTGCATCATAGCTCAACGAACAATGGTGCCTTCGACTTGCCACAGTGTGAAGACCCGATAGACAGTTTTCTTCTTTTTTTAAATAATTATAAGGAACGATACCTTGCTATCTACAATAGTATTGTACATAGGACAATATGGAAAACGGAGAATCGTCCATGCTGTCACGAGTGTGTTCGATACAGGGACCATTATATAGAGTGTAATGTGTAATATTCTATTTAAATATGTGTAACGCACAATATTTTCTATGAACCGAAAGAGAAAAGATATATGCGGATCGATGTATGTCCATAAGCTGCGATAGTCTCGTGAGGCACCTGTAACATGCGACACATTGTTTAGAGAAGTAAAAAAATGAAATCCATAGAAAGAAGAGATTGGTCCGCGTTGGACAGAAAGTCGTGAATCGTGCCTTCGAAATAGCAGTAGGGAATTTTTGCGTAGATAAATCTATTAAATTATATATCTTGAAACGCAGCGTTTCCAAATGGCCTTTAACACCGATCTTATTACCGATTAGTACGAGGCATACTATTAAACGTAAGATACAAAGGCAACGTAATTTTTCTCACGGTCGACGGGAGCCTCAGAGAAATCGTCTTCAACCCGTGAACGGGATCGTTCCATACGCAGACATTCCATTCGAACGATGTTATTTTCTGTATTATTCTTTTTTTTTTTAAATTACGTTATACTCTCTTCCTATCGATTTCACGAGGATTATCCGCGGATTGCTAAGATCTC